TTTTATAATGAAAGTCAATGTAGTTTTCGGAGGAAATAGTACTGATGGCGGTAAATGTTATATGCAGATTGAGAAACTTTAAAAAGGTAATAAACAAGGAAAGTGGTTTGACTATCAAGGAAATATTAGAAGAAGCAGGTTTTGTGATTATAAACTGAGAGAAAATATGAAGAATAGTAAGGCATGAAGGCAATCAAACAATTAACTTAATGTAAGCAACAGGAAAAAAAACACTGATGTTGAAAAATGGCTTCTCAAAACTAATACTTAGTGATGTCTATAGAAATACATTGGGAAGACGTGATACCAGGGCGAGCGGTTGTATCTGCATAGAAATAACCAGGTTCATACCATTCCCCGGTCTTTTCAACAGGAGTGGAGTTTGTAATTGTTTCCTGTTTAGGATTCGGTTTCAGGTTGCTTCTAAATTCTTCTCATTCTCTTTCACTCTCAGTAGCACCTTGCGTCTTAGTGGTATTATCGCCTTTCTTCGGGAGAATTTACGAAAAAGAAAAAGAAAACATTAACTAATATTGCAGTTATTGTTCTAGACAGAATTACAGGCCTCTTGAAAGTTGATGACTGTGTCAAGACAAAATGCGGAGAATTATTCTAGGGTTAGGGTTTTGTGATTGGTTAGAATTAAGATGATTTAAGTTAAATAATGTCTATTCATACAAAATAATGCCCCACTCACATTCCATAAAAATTGATTATTGCTACCCTTGTCAAAAATCGATTTAAAAAAAAACATCAAATTAATAGAATTGTGCCGGATCTAGGCAAATTGCTCGAAATCAATTGCTCGAAAAATAATTTCTCGAACTATCAATTGCTCAAAAGGCAGATTGCTAGAAGTAGTTTCGAATCTCGAAGCACCACGTAAACTGCGCCGTTTTCACGACACGTCAACGGAGCTGGATATAAAAGGAGCCACAAAACTCAACTTTAGCAATCCTGATTTTTATTTCTCTATTTGTTTTCTATTTCTATTTCAGCAATTTTGGAGATCTCGAACCCTAGTGATGGACATAACTTTTGTTGAGAGCGAAAAAGGAAAGAAGAAGTTGTGTTTTGGATGGATATATCTATATATTAAGAACAAAACAGTGAACAATAAGATTTACTGGAAATGTGAAAAAAAAAAAAAAAAAAAAAGGAAATGCTTAGCGCGTGTTATCAGTCAATGATAGTATCCAGAAACGAACAATGAAGTTAACAACAATAAAGTTGTATTATTTTATCTTATAGTAAATATTAGAAACAATGTAGTTTTATTTTTTTTAACCACAGGTTTCGAGCCTTTCGAGCAAATGATAGTTCGAGAAATTATTTTTTCGAGCAATTTACTGTTGAACAATTGATTTCGAGCAATTTACCGGATACCAATTGTGCCCAACCGCAACGGATTTTAACTACACGTAAATCATGTACCCTAACATTAACCTCCTCCATGGGAAATTTGAAAGCGTGGGATCGCCTAATCGATTTAATATATAGAAGCAGTTAATCTTAATGAAATTCAGGATAATATATTAGGTAAATGTTGCCAGTACAATATTAGGGAAAGAATTTTCAAAGAGATTTCAATTATTTGTTCGAATAAACTATTTTTATAAATTATTTGTGGTATAATTATTTTGCTTTATAAGGGGTGCTGAAAAGTTATCTATCCAGCCAAGTCGCCTTTTCCATAGTTTTATGTTTGGTCATTTGGTCAGATTTTTAGGAAGTAGATTGAGCCGAAAACTTTTCTGAACAGTTTTAGATTTTTGGGAAAACATGGTTTGAATATAAAATATTCATTTGGCGCTGTATATTCTTTATTGAAAAAGTGCAACCATTTAGTCACAGAACTTAGTGAAGTCGATGCAACTACGTGTGTGAAATATTTGAAGAATTTCAAAATTGAGAAATAAGATTTTAAACTCAGGGTTAATAAACTTTTTGGTCGAACTTTAATTGGATGTCGGAGGAGACAGCAAAATGAAAATGGGGAATTGCAGAGGAATTAGGGTAGGAATAGTATTAAGGCTTGGATTTCAGCAAAGGAGGTTACTTTGTTGTAAAGAAAAACTCAACCTCTTGTTGCAGATGCGAGCTATTTACGACAGGATCATGAAATAAAATTGACATTTTTCGCATATTGTATTTCCTTTGAAGATATTACCATTTTCATTCCATGCCAATCTGCACCCCTGATCAGCGGTTCCGCCTAGGGACAAGTTATTGTAAAATGCAGAAAAATATTAAAATCGATTTTAACATCCATCAAAAGACACAGAAAATATTTTTTCACCCGCTCTTTTTTTTTCGTTTTAATTCTGCAATCGTGATTGTCTGATAGAATTTGCACCTCAATGTCGACCATATTGTAGTTGAATCCAGAGGACAACTTGCTGAATTATGGGAAAGTTAGAATGGATTTGACTGTATAAATATAAATTCCAAGCAGAATTATCCTCGTTCAATGAATATCATGGATTGTGTTGTGTTTACACAAATACATTAAAACTTTCCCTCTTTGTCATTATATATATATATATATATATATATATATATATATATATATATATATATATAATAAATCAACACAAATAGGAAGTAAAGAGAAATTTAACGTGGGAACAAATACGTTGAATGTAGAAAGAATTTCAGAAATTGAATATTTAATTAAGTTTTTTGAAATCTTATGCAAAATATCAACTTCAGATGCGTATTGCGCGTTCTACAGTTTTGCCTACAAAAGGATTTGTAATGATCCACTTTTGGTGAGAGATCGTAAGATAAATTTCGTTCACAGCGATTTGAATGAATAAATATCACATTCATTTAATTTGTTACAAATGTTGGCATTCGTGCTGTCGTCAGGGCTAGAATTTTGAAGGCCGATTTTCAACAAAGAGATTTCCTTTAAAAGTAGGAGATTGACATAATTCTATCTTCCTGTAGTCATAATTTTTCTATCTGACTTTTTGTCGTACTCAGATAAGTCTGTTAAAAAACAAGAGAGAGATTCGTACATCGACAAACAAAAGATGAGGACAGCGACAGAGAATTTATTAATTTATTCTCCATGTCATAAAATATATCAAGCAAATAAATTCGTATTTTCTGCAACGCATACGTTTTAATAAGATCTCCATATAATATAACTGTGAATGGAAATTGACAGAACAATAATATTAAAAATTAAAAAATATTAATTTGGCTTTGCAACCATCGAGTTTTTGAAAGATAGTGCGAGAAAACTTCAGTGCTTAATCTATCAGTCTCTCTTTGATAATGTAAATGTTAGGGGTAAGGAATTAATGAAAGCTTTAGTAATAGAAAGGGTGACTTTATGTATAATGCAAATGATTCCACTATAGAAATGCATTACAAATGACCACTATAGTAAAGTGCATTAAATAATTTTACTATGTAAATACATTGAAGATTATGAAGGAATGTATTTTTAGTTGTTAAACTTTAACACAAATGTTACTTGCGGAATATAGACATTCTATGTATAATGCTAACACTTTGTTAATGATTTCATTATAGAATTACATTGTAATTAATTTTCTGTGGTAAAATAATGTAAATAATTTTGGTATAGTAATTTCTTGCCTATCAAGAAAAAAGAGATTCACAGATAGTAGCAAACATGTTATTAGTAAACTAGAATTATTTAGCAGGAATATTTTTTTAATTTGGATGTAAGTTCCTATGAAATTAATTAAAACGTGAGTATGAATGAAATCTATGATGGATAATGGATTTCATTTTTGATGGATAGTTTAAATCTGAAATAGTTTACTTTATTATCCTTTAAACATTCAGAAACTGTGTACTTAACTAACGCAACAGCGAAGTGAATTGACCTAAACTCATGAGGCACGTTGGACTTCTTGCTCCTAGATACAGACGTCATAAATATAGTTTTATAATTTAGAAATATAAACTTTTTAATCATACTGCAACTGCAGTATTAACAATAGTAGAAACTGTAGTTGTGTAAAAAGTGCAATTTAAATTAACTTTTTAGCTGGGATTTATATTCTTTGAATATTAGCCGAAGCTCCAGTGGGATTTCCGCCAGTTAGTTCCCCATTATGTAAATTATGTAAATAAGAAACAATTTATTGAGTTATAATAAAACGGGCAACTATATACAAACAACATCGGTAGCAAATCTTAGACAACAAAGAGCAAATTACTAATTCCTTTCCTTATCGTAGAAAAATTATAGTCAAACACAGAATCATCAAATGTACACTTTTTTGTCCTCAAAGGCACGTGACCCAGTGGATAAAGACGTTGGTTAGATCCAGTGACGAGACCCAAAGAGTTGTGAGTTCAATACTTGGCCACAGCAGTGGTGAACCAAAAACTTGATTTAAAGGGAAATAACTGAGACATCCGGAAGAGACATGGCACGTGGAACTAGAACAATCTACCTCGGTGGACAAAGTGAAGGGTTCGGTTCAAAATTCCAATCACCTAATGAAGGCCGGGGCGTACAACGGTCGAAACGTTGTGAATATGGCCATGAAGATGAGGATAGCACACAAATAAAGTAAATAATGCAAGTAATCATAATACATCATCTCAGAGATATAGATAGATATTTTATAAACAAATCTATCGTGTTGTTTTCTGAAACGGATTCAACATGTGTTCACATTTGAAAAGTTGTGCACCTGACCCATTTCTGACTTTTCAGAAGGTTCTAGACAAACAAACATTTTTGTTACCTGTGGATTCATTAATGTTATTATTTTTAATTTCATATTATTATGGTATTTTTCCAAATGTTGCATTATCTTTGAACACCTTTTGACTTTATTGAAGCTTATCCAGCTAGAAATATCTAAACTGTCAGTTGTATACAACCGCTTTTTCAGATCAATGATTAAAGATGACATCGGGCGATTGATTGTCTTTTTTGTTACGGCTTATCAAGTCTAAGTGGATTTTTTTAAAGCCGAATCATATTTCGGATTTTATAAGTTTGCTTACAGTACCCCGTGGTACTAGGTGATCACCCATCTTATTATCAACTGGTCTCGACGCCGCTTAACTTCGTTGATCGAACGAGAAGCGGTGTTTTCAACGTAATTTGACCGTAGGTGGCTTCGAGTGAATGAAGTCTGTAGGTCTTAACGAGGACCATCCCTCTTCGAATCTCGTGGCCTGGCGCTACAGGATCGCAATCAAAGAACTGTACCAAATAGCAAAAAGACGCATCAATTGGGGACTTTCAATAACAAATAAAATGGGTAGCCCATGTAAAAGGGCAATAAATAATGGCATAATCAAGATATTGGCATTCAATACCATTTCGAACAAAAGGAAGTCCTAAACAAGACTGGAAAGAGCTATAACAGTTAGCGGCCTTAAGAAAACAGGTTTCTATAGAAGGAAACGGCTATTATTGCTACTACCACCATTACTTCGTACTTTTCTGCCTCATTTGTATTCCTTAAGTCTTTACTGGTGTAATTGTTAGAGATGAATTAGAACTGAGTTGTGAGTTTAATTCATACAGGGTGCTCATTACTTTAGGCCTTGTGCCACATCTAAACTACGATTAGTAAATCACTATTTTGGGGGTACTTCGACATTCATTAATGGTTAGCAAGAATGTCTCGCTAGATCAATTATAACTGAGAAGTGAGTTTGGTTCTCGCAGGGTGCTCAATACTTTAGGCCTTGTGCCACGTCTAACCTACGCTTTGTATATCGCTATTATTTACTGGATGGGCTGTAGGTAATACTGTGGGTAAAGGTTAAAACTTTTAAGAAGAGCTTACGGCAATATCATTTTGAAACATTGGTTCCTGTATGATCACCAAAGTTAAGCAACACCGAGCCTGGTGAGTACCTAGATGGGTGACCGCTTGAGAATACCAGGTGCTGTAAGATTGGATGTGCGGATGGTGTAATTGATAATGGCTCGGAAGTTTTAATCGAAGAGCCGAATTCCATTTCAATTTGAGTTTGTTATATTCCCTTACGCTCAAATAATCTTGGGAAATGTATGAATCCACCTCTTCTACCCCCAGCTATGGGTTAATTAGTAAGACATCTATCACGAAATCACTATCATCTAAAAATTAAATTGTTGCAATCTAAATAAAAAATATTTTCTGGCTTTAAATAACCAGCAAGGGGTTGATAATATGTAGAAAACGCGTCACTCAATCAATGAAATAATCATTAGATGCAGAGGCTTGTATCATTAAAACCATTATTACCTCTGAGAAAAATATTCTAACAATCTCAAAATATTTTCTGGTTTTAAATAACTCGCAAAGTGTTGATAAGCATTAGAAAAGGAATCAATTAATTTTCAGGCGACAAAGTTTCAGCTGATGGCGAGGGCAACAATGATTTGACCAAAATCATTCTTCTGGAATGTAACACCAACAATGTAATGTTGGTCTATGATTTTGAAATGACATTAAACATTTCTTGTAGAAGTAATTCCAGTTAGACTTGGCGACACACATAATAATGCATGTGTTTGTGATGATTCCATTACGAATCTAATGTAAACTTTCAGTCAATGCGGATGTCACTGCACATCTGCAGCATCTATCTCATAATTTGCTATTTTCAGTTTCAAATCAGTGAAAAACTTACTTCATACCACAGAAAAAAGTTTCATAAAACTAATGGTTGTTTTATTACACAATAAGTTGTTCATGAAACAAGATTAACATCCATACTGTATACAAGGGACAATGACCATTTCCAATAAAATTCTGCAGCTTGTAACTTCTCATAAACTTGTTCGCTTACGTGCGCTTGAACATAAAAGATCCGCTTTCTTTTGGGGTAGGCAAAAACTGTCATTTGACAAATATCAGAAAAGTGGTGTTTATCAGGTAATAAAATTTGCTAAGTAAATGAACATGTCATTCCCTCATTTGGTGCTGCTGGCCAAATATTCATTCAGCGACACTGCAACTCTTAAGCTTGCGGAGAAGGCTAGCATGTCAAAACCTGTTGAACGACTTTAGATATCTAAAGCCACAACCCGAGCTTTACCGTTCATATCTAAAGCTTGATAGGCAAATTCAGTGACAGACGTTAACACAACGTCGGTAGAAACGGGAGATTTGGGGCTTATTTCCTCAGGGCTATGGTCAAATTTACACACTCAGGTACTCAAATCCCGTAAACTCCATTAGGGACTATGGGGCCACAGCTATCACTAAAACTAGGCGTTGCTGCTGTGGTAGCTGAAGAAAGTAGTTTTCTCATGGGATGAAGTTGCTAGTCACATGTACAAGTGGTTTTAAATTCAGACTTGTCCTTCTAGGTAGCTGCAGTTAAAAGAGAAGCGTCGTTAAGTGCCTTCAAACATGACAAGCAGCAGTAGTAGTAGAACTAACAGCTAGGTTAGGTTTAAGGTTCCAAGTTCAACATTCAGAACTGTCCCGTGAATTAGCTTGCAAGTTTGAAGACGTAGTAATTATGAGTTCAATCTCAGAGCCGGGCACTACGTACTTGGGCTCAGTGGAAACGGGGCAAGCAACAGAATTAGACAAGATATCCTTAAACATCGATAAAATAAATGGGTCAGTATGAGGTTAGCAGGATCGACATGCATTTTCGATTGCTAAAAAAAGTTTGTGTGGGTGTGTGTGTGTGGGGTAGCCCTTCTCTCATGAAAATCAGGTTAAATAGTTCATCGAAAACATTTTCACGTCTTAACCTGTGTAATTATACTAAAACGATATTGAATTGGCAAGAAGTCATTTCAAATAATGCCGAATATGTAATTGAATAGAATGTAATGTTTTTAAGAATAAAGTTGATAAACAAAACGGAAATTCTTTCTGACTCAATCCATATTTTAACGCCATGTTGGAATTAAGCATAAACTGCTATTTCATCCACTTACAACAGGAACGAGGCACACGGTCGTCAAAGGGTAAAAGCTACTAATTAGCGTAACAAATGTTTTATGTCAAATTTTTCATGTTTGACTTAAAAAAATGACTTGACTGAAAAAAAAAAGAAACTTTTTTTTCTTAAGATTAATAGTGGCGCCATCAAGTGGTGGAAATAATTTATCAAATGATTCAACCAAGCTGATTTTCCCCTAAAATGTAAATTCTTTGTTAACGACTATACAATAAAATATGAAAACATTTTTTCTAACATACTCCAGACAGAAATAAACTTCGAAAGAAATTTACTAATATAAATAAATAAATATATGTGTAAATGGAAGTAAACAAAGCTGATTTCTTAGTAGGTTACGTGTCAATGTGCCGTCAACAGACGAGTTATCAGGATTTTTTAAAAACTTTTTGAAACATTAAAAATTCGTTTCTGATATGAGGTATTGTATTTGCACTATTTACATTGTTAGGACTGCTGTCCCCGTCTTCGTTGCCATATTAGTGATGTTTCGGCCATTCTACGCTCCGACCTTCCTCAGGTGATTGGAATTTTGAACTGAACCCTTTATTTCGTCCAACGGAGTAGATTGTTCTACTTCCACGTGTCATGCCTCTTCTGGATGTCTCAGAATCATTTACCTCCTTCTGACTTAACTCTCCAAGTTTTTTGTTCACCTCAGCCAGGTATTGAACTCACAACTTTTTGAGTCAAGTCACTGGATTCAACCAACACTTTTATCTACTGGGCCAGGTGTTTTCGAGGGAGATAACTTTTGAGTGTCAAAAAATGAATATCAACTAGTTTAATCGATTGACTGATTCATTCTCTATGGCTTATAAACCATTATAGGTTATTTAAAGCCAGTAACATTTTTGTTTTTACATTGTAACATGATTTTTAGATTTTTTTTATAGTAAGATTTGCCCATTACAAGGCCCGGGAGACACTCGCAGTAAAAGGTTACGTTAAGAGGCAGTATGTGCAGATAGGAGGGGATGATAAGGGTTGACTCTAGACTCAAATAGGTTAAGATTGTAGTGATCGGGGAAAAATACTTATGGGAGTTCTGTTCCACAGAGCAGTGGTTCGAGGGAAGAAGCTGTTCGAGGAGAACTTACTTCTCACCGATGGAATATGGAGGGAACGTGGGTGGGGTTCCCTACTTTTTAAATGGCATGGCGTGTCATTGCCGTAAAGGTTTGAACGCCGGGACCAGGGAAGGTAGTTCGTCTGAGCACTTTCAATGGAGGTAGCGATAGAGCATCAAGATGCTTGCCACATCCCACCCGTGGGAAAGAGGTTGAAGGGTGGAGAATAATTCGTCACCCACATAAGGCTTTTGTACTCATCACTCTCGGAGACGATTTTTAACTCTATCAAGGTTGGAGAGTGAGGTCTGGACAACACCCGCCCCAATATAACAACAGTATTCCATTTTTGGTCTGATCTGGATCTTTTAAAGGAAGAGGACAGAAGGAGGAGTCAGGTACTTACTGGAGCGCTGCAGGGAACCGGCCATTTTACCCGCATCCTTAGCAATGGATCATATGTACGAGTTCCATTTTCGGAACTTAACAATTCCGAGCCATTATCCCTTACACCACCCGCACATCCAAGCTCACAGCACCTTGCATTCCCAAGCGGTCACCCATCTAGGTACTTAACATGTTCAACGTTGCTTAACTTCAGTAATCGTACTGGAATCGGTGTTTCAACGTGATATGTCCGTAAGCCTCAGCTCGTCAAAAACATTGAAAGTCTTCAAAATAAATATTTACTAGAATTCTATTTATTCCGACCAAAGATGAAACCTTCAAGATTTTGGTACTCATCATTCACACGCACATACAAAAACACATACACACCTATACGTGTGCGGGCATTCATGTATACACAAGATAAGAGAACACCTGAGACGAATTTCTTAGCTGAATTTGGGTCTGAAAACTACACTGTACAAAGATCGATCTATCTGAATTATGTGCATTGACAATTAGGGATATTACAAATAAAAATAGTTGTAAAAAAATGAATGCCTTGTTCATCATTAGGCTACAGACATTGATATACTACGTGTAAGTTCTTACGCATGCCTAGTACTCATCCACTTTTAAAAACATGCTCACTCTTTTGCACGCTCTCACTCTCTCTGACGCTCGCTTTCTCTCACTAGGATGTGCGGACGGTGTAGGGAATAGGGGCCCAGAGAGGGTAATTGGAGAGCCGATTTCGAAACAAAATTCCAACCCTTACGAAACATATGAATTCATCTCCTCCCCTCAGCTATGGGTTAAATATTAGCATTTGAAAACTCATTGTTACCATCGAAATTAATTAATGCAGTATTGACTGTTAAAAATAGTAATTCTTCTTGCACTCAAAATCATGTTCCGGCTTTAAATAAGACACTTAAGCCTTAAAAGACAAATTAATCAATCAATCCATCTCTCTCACTTCATTCATATCATTAATACATGTTTCATTAAATAATATAGACAAGTTTTGTCTATTTATTTTAAGTTCCTTTCATATTGTTTGATAAGCTTAATCACATTATCGTTGAAAGACGAAAGGAAAGCACCATATTGATACATGTGTAAATTCAATCTAAGCTTTCGGCTTACATAAGCCATTATGAAGAAAATATGGAAAAACAAACCTCCGAATATGTAAGTCTGCTGTTTTAATGTTGTTTTAATGTCGACGACAGACGTTTCGGTCTAGTAACATTAAAACAGCATACTTGCATATTCGGATTTTTTTTCCATATTTTCTTCATACTGTCGGATCTATATCCACATATTTGCTTACATAAGCCATTATCAAAGATGACAATTTCAATAAATCAAACAAGACACGGAAGAAACAACAATGATAGTCTGCCCTTGATGCATGAAAAAAATATATATATGTAAATATAAAAGTGAACATTGAAGTCAAAACTCAAAGTATAGCACACCTTAAAACTATATTCCTTCATATATATATATATATATATATATATATATATATATATATATATATATATAAAATATGTGCTGCAGTTCAATTTATATTATTAGAGAATAATTCATACAAAAAGTAGATTAGTAAAGTTAATGATATAAAATGGCGAAATCCTTTCGCAAATAATTCACCTTTAAAATTTGTTTGCGAAAGGATTTCTCCATTTTATATCATTAACTTATCTACTTTTGTATGAATGATTCATTGTATATATATATATATATATATATATATATATATATATATATATATATAAAGAAAGAATAGTAAGATATATAATCTGGTGTCCCTATTGATATTTTTATTTTTACAAAACAGTGCTCAATGTAAATTTACAGAGCATAAATATTATAAATTAACTGATTTAAAATATGTTTTTTTAAAAGCATCAATTCCGTTTCATCTTAAATGAAGATGAAACGGAACTAATGCTTTTAATTTAATCATATGATTAAATTAAAAGTTTTTAGCTTTCATTTTTGAAACATGGTTATTACTGTGGAGAGAAAAAACATATTTTAAATCAGTTATATATATATATATATATATATATATATATATATATATATATATATATATACATATATATATAGTCAATTTAAGAAAATGATTTTAAATCTAATCTAATTGTATGTATCTTGAATGCTTGTTTGATTTGCCAAAAAATGTCTATATCTTTTTTTTTTTATATTTTGCATGTCATCGCATATATCAATATGACATTGAATGCATTGTATCTCTCCTCGATAGCAGATTGTTGATTGAGGTCCTTAGTCATGGTCATGGCAACCCATCTAGAGGATCACAGCTACCTTAAAGTCCGCAATCTTCGGCATACTGAACGTCTTGCTTGTTTGGATTTGGTTCTCAAAGCTCTTAATGTTGTGTAAGCTGTACACAATTTTAACCCATTTGCTGACACGAGGTCGATTTCTATGATATTTTTTCAAGAAACCCTTAACGACTTCTGAATAAACCTCTGAAAACGATAAAATTTTCCTTTGCGTTGACTTGAACTCCAGGGTTAGAAATGACTGTGACACTTTGCACTGTCTTGGAAGGTAAAGGATATGAAAGAAGAAGATTAATGATTTTCTTTTGGGGCTTTTCACTGAATTCAATCTATTAATTTCCGGTACACAATTTAAGCATAAAAGTGATCATGTTACAACGTGGATTCACCCAGGATCACCCAGCCAATATCATTGTTCGAAATTGTACGTGTGCAATGTTGAGTCTTTAAGCGCGACAGATTGCTGGGGAGATAATGTACTTGCGCGCACTAAAATGCAGTTGGTCACGAGGAATCGTCACAGCTTAACGCCCCAAAGCTCCTGGGCATAACAAAACTCCTATGAAGGAAGCTTTTTTAACAAAGAGCTGGAAAAATTTCAAATACGTCCCCGTGAGAAGAAACTCGAGATATTCTTAGCCTTGCATCAGCCAAGCATCAAAACTCGTTTTACGATAATGAAATAAAAGATCTAATATCATACACTACAAAATGGACAAAGTCCGACAATTATTTTAATATATTTTATTGTTATACGTTATTTATATAGACACAAATATTTAAGTAAATGCTCTGTTTATAATGAACACTATTAATAACATTTACCTGAACGTCCGAGAAATTTTCATAGAAAATATACGTCCTCCGAGTGCATTTTGTAGTGCCTGACGACATTTGTTTACGTTGAGATACGTTTCGAGCAGATATGAACGTTCAACTGAAATTATGGAAAATTTGTAGTTTAAAAGCAGTAAAATCGACCTTGCTAACCAGACGCTCTTTCCTAGCTAAACTTGTATAGTACTATATGACAGTTCCGTGTAGGATACAGGTTCGATTGCTGTCAGAGAACACACATTTTCTATGAAATTTCTCGGACTTTCAGGCCGGTAAATGTTGTTCATACTGTTTATTATAAACAGAGCATTTACTTAAATATTTGTGTCTATATAAATAACGTATAACAATAAAATATATTAGTATAATGTCACATAAAAGTAAGATGAGGGATGCTATGTTACCAAAAATGTAGCCAGAAATCAGCAGCGTAATCTGAAAAGAAAATTAAAAACTGCAAAATCACAGCGGGTTATGTGTAGCATGCAAGATAACTCTTGAGTGTCACTATGTTTTGAAATTAAATGACTACTAATTCAAAGAATAGCAAGCTACTAAGACCAGCCTTTAGCCACTAAAATGCAAGAGTTGCAACTTTATATATATATATATATATATATATATATATATATAATTATTTATTTAAAATATGATTCCTTCGCTACATATTTTTAAATAAATAATTATATTTAGGCTTTACTTCTGTATCGATCACTGGTTTTTAAAAATAAAAACAAAAATACTAAAGAACTTCGGATTGTTTACCTAACGAGTTCTTTCCTATTTTCTGTATATTTTCACTCACACACACACACACACACACACACACACACACACACACACACACACATATATATATATATATATACATATACATATATATATAACGGGCAAACTTATCGCTGAGAGATGAAGAAAAGATTGCAAAAAAATAGTATAACACAGAGTCTAGGAATCCCGGAAATGAATGCCCTTTTTAACCTTGAGGAAGTGAATTTTCGTCGGCTTACTCTAGTTAAAGCTGCTGGAAAGGGTAGGATTTATAAAGATAATATTTCAATATGGTGGTGATCACATGTTAGAAAAAACACTGTCAACAACAATAACTAGCAGACAGAGAGAGAGAGAGAGAGAGAGAGAGAGAGAGAGAGAGACCTGGCGATTTCTTATATATAATCCAAATTAAAATTAGTTACACTTGCGTTAGTGTTGTGGTAGGATACACTTAATTTGCATAGTGGAGTACCGACCATATAAATATGGTTGGTACCGGGAAGACGGGAGAGGAATCAAGAGATTCAATCCAGAGACTCTGCCCGACTGCGACTAAGTCAACACATTCTCCAGGAACGCTTTTCCCAAGAATATACAAAAGACTACATGTAAATATTGTGTACACTTTCTTGTTTCAATACATTTTGTTCTAAGTACATTTTGTGTTGCATTATTATTCCATGCATTAGTCAAGTTTCAACAGTTAGTAATATCGAGAAAGTCATCAACTCCCATTATAACCATCTGCTTAGGAAATTTCATGGTAGGGAATTACAAGAGAATAACCCCACCTGTAATTGTAGAATTAAAGTAGAATGTCTAGTAGGAGGAAAATGTATGTCTGATAATGTGGTATATGAGGCCACTATAATAACCAAGGAAAATAAAGACCTGAAAAAAGGTTTATATTGGAATCTCTGCGGGAAGTTGGAAACAACGCCTGTATAACCACCGGCATTCATTCAATATCAATCCTTAAAATAGCAAACAACATTTTCCAAACACTATTGGGATCTAGTTGACAATGGATTCACCCTGCAACTGTAATAGATGATCCTACTTTGGACTCGTACCCCCAACAATATCTCTGTATAATAGAATAAAATCTTCATAATTAAATATAGTAACCCTGAAAAAATACTGAACCATCGCAATGAACTTATATCCAAATGCAGGTATAAACATCGATTTAAAGTCTGAAACTATTTCTGTCTTGAAAAAGCTGATCCTTGAAAACTCAAGGATATAACAATAACGTGTATTGAAGCATGTAGTCATTTTATGATTTAATGTTTGTATTTGTATAATATATATATATATA